GGGCAGGCGAGCAGCAGCAACATGAAACACAGCAGTAGGAACATGAACGTAGCAATAGCAAGTGAACACAGCAGTGCAGCAGCAGCATAGCGAGGCAGAGGCAGGAAGACCTGGCAGCTTACAGTAAATAGAGCGGCATGTTTAGGAGAATGTGTTTGGTTGGTTGTAAGAGGGACGAGGTACGTCACGTGTTAATGTATCATTGGTGCTCGAGTTGACTGCCTGAACTAGCTCGCAGGCTTCGCCCCATTTGTGCTGCTCCGCTCCGGGGGGGTTGGTGCTGTCGGAGGTGTCATGTCCCTTCTGCTTGGGGCCCCCCAGAGTGTCTTGGGGCGCCACTGCCCATTGACATCTCTTTTTTTATTTTCTTCTCAACTTGGTAAATGTAAAAAAGAAAAAGATTTTAGTTTTTGAAAGTCACCTCATGCAGACTAACTTCTGGAGTCAGCTCTTCAAAACTTAACGACAAACACGTGAATCTGTTTTATTAGATTTGTTACGCCAAAAAGCACTTTAAAAAAATGTATTCAGCTTGGGAGAACAAAGATAAATATATTGATAATTATAAAGTCTTCAGGGGGTTTAGAAAAAGCAAAGACATGTTATTTAAACCGGGAAAGAGTTTACTCTGTATATTGATCCGTTGATAAAGGACTTCTTTGAAAATGGGGAAAAAAATAAAATAAAATAGAAGTAAAATACAGGCACTCAAAATCCAAGAGGATTAAAAAGCCAATATAGTTGCAATTAAATAGTTAAAGAGCCAGCATCGATCAACCCCTGTAGGTCTAAAATAAAAACTCAAAACCTGACATGTTGTTTTTATGCTTCAGTCGCTACAGTAAAGGATTTTTTTACATTTCCTTCCTTGAGGCTCGTACACCAGTGCAATGGATCAGCTTCCTCCTCACATTGTTAACATTATTCCACTGTTGACTTTAAAGCGCCTCATGTCATTCAGATGCATGATGGGAAACAGTTAGGGGGTGCCTGGCAGGCGACCAATCCAATAAGGAGCAGATTGATTGGATCCAGCAGCCCTTCCTGCCTTCTCCAGAATCTGAGAGGCTTAGAGCTGGAAATGAGATTTTCATTCACACCCCAAATCCACCGGGAACTCAACTCCATAACCCTAACAGACGCTGAGAAGCACAGCGAGTGTGTGTGTGACGGCATGAAGTGCAACATGTGTGTGTGAGGTTGCCTGCGATTATGCTAACGAGAACGCTATCCGCTCTGCTACTCATCTATTTCCGCCCACAGCTTTGTGTGTGTCCATGTTTTAAACACTCACATAGCTTGAACACATGTGGAAACACACACACAGCTTGCATACATGTATACACACATGCCGACACACTCGTGCACACACACAGGCAGAGACCCTGCGTGTGTGTGAAGCATGCTGTGTGTTGTAATTTCACCCTCTCCCTGCCGTGAAGAATAATTACATCGCTCGCTGACTGCTCAGTCTATCTCTCTGCTTCCCTCTCAACCGCATCTTCTTCCCACACACACACTCACAGACACACTCACACAACACATACACACACACACACACACACACACACACACAACGCACACACCTGAGTACTCCCCCACCTTCGCTTGCTTCCCAATCCATCCTACTTCTCCAATTCTGTCTCCACTTTATTCTGACCAACTCTCTAAAGTCTCAAATATTGTCGAGCTTGTCGTGACTATGTGTTTGTTACATTTATTGCTTTTGATAAGTTGAGTAAAGCATTAGTCACAAGACAACGAATTACCACAACACCTCTGATGATGGATTCATCAGTTAAGTCTTTAATCAAGCAGAGAATGGCAAGCTTTCTTTGTTTTCTGTTATAATATGCTTCTCAGTTTCTTTGTGAAGTCAATATGTTTTGTTTTTGGAGCGCTGGTCAGACAGAACAAGCAATTAGAAAATGTCAAAGCTGTTGTAAAAGTTTCATTTCCTCTCACACACATGCACCTTGCTGCAGCAGAATCACTCTGTCTTGGGGTCTGTGAGGGGTTTGATTATTTACTGCAGGGACAGATAGACTGGTTAACCCTCGAGTCTGATCCTGTGTGAACAGATTGAGCGTCTAAACTACTCAAGATGTTCCACCCCTTTCAACACTGTCACTGATGGCCCAACACATTTCTTTAAAACAGAAACTACTCAAGACGCAGTCACAAAACTTTAAAGGGGACCTATCATGCAAAATGCACTTTTGTACGTCTTTTATACATGAATATGTGTCCCCGGTGTTCCAGGGAACTCACCAAGTGTCAGAAAACACAACCCTCTCTATTTTCCTCCATACCCAAATCTCTAAAAACGGGGCTGCAACGGATCTGATAAAAACTGATCCAGATTTGAACATTTATCTGACGTCAGGACGGAGGAGCTGACCTATCAGGGGAATGAGAGGTTGTCGTGGCATGGTAACAGCATGGTAACAGCATGGTAACAGCATGGTAACAGCATGGTAACACGACGCTCGTAACTCGGCCCCCTCCTTTGCAGGGGGGCGTGGTCAGCTGCAGCGCATGCAAAGACAGGGGTGGAGGAAAGCAAAATAGAGCGAAATGAGGCATGGCTAAAATGCATGATCTGTTTGGTATTTTGAAAAAGAAAACGTATAAATATACCTTATATAGGTATGGCCCTACAATATATTATTCAAATATAGCATGATAGGTCCACTTTAAGGGTCTGTAGTGGAGATCAGAATAGAGTTTGAAGCTGCATCGCAACATGGTCTCAAGTTTCTCGAGTGTTACTAAGTAGGAAATGTCTCTTTCTTTCTGCATCTGTGTCCATGATTGTCATGTGTAGAAAGTAGATATGCTATGATTGAAAGGAGTAGTGACTGTAGCCAATATTTTTGGGTTAGCCTGACCAACTAAGGGCAGAAACATGGCCCACTCGTGTACTCAGAAACGTAGAAACTCTGAGCGATGAAAGACCACAAAGACCAATTTCATGTTTCATTGATTTTTGGAGTATGCCGGCTAATAGCTGCAGCCGACGGCGTGACTCAACGAGAGAGCTGAATTCAGTTTGAGTTCACTTCTGCTCAGAACATCACAACAAAGCTCTGGCCGTATATAGCTATGTTTTATTTTTTCTTTACGTAGATTATCCACAGATAAACCTCCTTGTTATCTCCACCTGTGT